TGGAGCCTGATGATATCGATACTATACCTGTGGTATTGATACTACTATGCAAAGTAGTATCGGTACCCCTTTGGGTATCGGTACCATTTTTGTATTCTGAATTTGAACAATGCTGGTAGTATTGATATTACCCAATGGGTATCGATACTTCCCTTACCTTTGGTATCGATACCATATGAACAATATCGATACTGTTTATGAGGTATCGGTACTGTAAGAACAATATCAGTACTTCTTGTCTAGAAAATCATTTTGTGTTCAAATCCACTATCAAGGACTTTGAATTATTTTTGAAAATTTTGAATAAATTCAATTCAAGTCCAAAAACATTTTGTATTAATTGTTAGATCAAAATATAGTTTAACAATATTCCTTGGATATTCCATGAATTTTAAAGTTTATTGAGTCTTTAATAAAAGAAATATAGTGGTAGAGGAGTTTATCCCTTCCGAGGAAGGACTCTTGTGTGGAAGATGATATAGGTGTGATGACATCAAATGAAGTTGGTGAACCATCAACTAAAGAGGATATGCAAGAAAAAAACAAACACAAGATGCTCTTGAGGAGCCAACTCTAGAGGAAAGAGAAGTATCATTCCCAAGGGAGTACAACTATGTCAAAGATGGTGAGATTTTGGGTGATCCATCCAAAAGGGTAATTACTAGATCCTCTCTTACAAATATTTATAATTTTTGCATTTATCTCACGCGTAGAACCTAAAATATCAAAGAATCATTAAATGGTGCATTTTAGTTATTGGTCATGCAAGATGAGTTAAATCAATTTGAGAGGAATCAAGTATGAACATTAGTTTAATGTCCTAGTGACAAATCTACTATAGGTACTAAATGGGTATTTAGGAATAAATTAGATGAAAGTGGTAATATAGTGAGGAACAAGGCTAGACTTGTTTCTCAAAGGTATACTCAAGAAGAAGAAATAGATTTTGATGAAACTTATGCTCACGTAGCTAGGATGGAGGCAATTAGAAAGTTATAAGCACTTGCATGTTATCATGGTTTTACTTTATATCAAATGGATTTTAAAAGTGCTTTTTTAAATAGTTTTATAGAAAAAGAAGTGTATGTGGAAAAATCTCTCGGTTTTGAGTATTCAAAATTTCCAAATCACGTTTTTAAATTGAAAAAAAAGCTTTATATCATTTAAAAAAAGCTTCTAGAGCTTCGTATGAAAGATTGATAAATTTTCTTGTTGAAAATGGTTTTTCAAAAGGGAATGTTGACACTACCTTATTTATAAAAAGTAAACGTAAATATTTGTTAGTAGTTCAAGTTTATGCTGATGATATTATTTTTGGATCTATTAATGATAATCTTTGCCAAGTTAATGCAATGTGAGTTTGAGATGAGCATGTTGGGGCAACTCTCATTTTTCTTCGGACTCCAAAACAAGCAAAGGAAAGATGACATCTTCTTTAATCAAGTAAAGTACATCAAAGATATGCTCAAGAATTTTATAATGATTAAGAATTTGATAATGGAGGATATGAAACCCCAAGCCACTCCTATTGTAACATCCCAAATTCTGGGTTAGCAATTCGAATTTGGCGATTTGGTAAATTTTTTAGATTTTCGGAAAAGTCATAATTTTGATAATTTTTAAAGTGGAAATTATTTTAGAATATTATTATTAATTTTGATTTGGGTTAATTGGGTGATTAAATTGAATAATTTTAAAAGTATGATTTTAGTGACTAAAATGGAATATGGATAGAATTATCAAAATCTATGAAGCGATTACAAATATTTAATATTATCTCTTTATTTTCTTATTTTATTGAAAACTTAAACTATTATAATCTTTTATATTTTAAATTACTTATTTTTTGTTTTAATCTATTTTTAAAAGATTTTAGTAAAATTTTCCTTTTATCAAATTTAGATATAATATTTTCCCTAATGTTTTTCTATTCATCCAAACACATCATTTTCTCTTGTTTTCTTTAATGGAAAAACCCTTCATTTCCTTCTCTTCCAAATCATTTACTGGTTTTTATGTTGATTTAATCCATTCCCAAACTTAATTTTCAATCTCCCAATTCTTTCTCTTTTTCGTGGCTTACACTAGCTTGGTGGAGTCATCTTGTTTTCCTTCCTTGATTGTTTTCTTCTTCTTCAATCAATTTCTAGTAAACTCTTCATGATTGTTAACTACTCATGATGAACTTGGATTGATCGAAATTTATTCTTAATGGGACATTTGGATATGAAAGGCATGTATGAGAAAGAGTACTCTATGTTTTTTTACATGTGTAAGGTAACAAGGTTAGGTTTGTATGTTGAGCTTTGCTCTGAGAAGTTATACGAGGTAAGGTTGGTGCATTGAGCTTTGATTAGAAATGTGGAAGTTGGGACCTATGTGAGTCCAAAATAAAAGGAGTTATATGGAGTCTGTTTAGCTAATGAGTAGTTGTGTTTCAAACAAAATGCCATTGATATTATATGAAAACAAATGTGTGTATTGTGTGTGGAAATTATAAGCAAGGTAATTGTGCATGAGTTTATGTGATTTGCAGCAGGAATATGTTGTATTTAAGCATGTTTATATTATGTAATTTGTGTGGAATTGTGGTTCATTAAATAAGCATTTAAGCATGACATTATGGTATGATAATCGAGGTAAAACAAATGAGGTTTATTGGCTTATAGGTTGCTTTCCTATAGCCTTGACATATGCATCATACTTGAATGTTTAGTTGTTCACTGAGCTTTCTAGCTCACACTCATTGTTTATCATTTTTTTAGATTATTGTTTGTTGATTTGAAAGCTTGAGAGGCATGACACTTGGTGGTGATCAAAGCAATGAGGCATTTGTAAAGTTATTTTAAGGCAATATGGGATCCATTATTGGGCTATATATTGGCTTGTACATTTATACTTGTTAGTACATAACTGATCTCTAATGACCTCTATTGAACATTGATTCTTAAATATATGATGAAATGATGAATATTGATGTTGGATTATATGTTATGCAAAATTTTTAAGTATGCCTTGAGTGACCAAAAGATGTTATATGCATTTAATAAGTGTTTTGACCATTTAGACAAGTGAAAATAAGTGAACATAACATGTTAGGTCTTTAGGATGCATGAAACAAACAATAACGTACAAAATGGTTAGGTGATTTGTGTTTAATTTGAATTTCTATGCAAAATTTGACTTTGGAGGCTAAATTATTGTATGATATGTCAAATGATTTTATGAAGCATGCTAAATATGTATTATAACATGTTCTATGTTGTTTAAGTGTGTCCAAAAATGTTCGTAGACCCTAGGATTGATTGCATGACCAATTAGATTCATATTCTTGCATATTCATATGCATTTTGTGCATTTTCTAGAAAAATAATCGATCCCTTCCCAAACTCACTATTTTACAAAGGACCGGTCCCCCATGAAAAGGGATCGATCCCTTCTTTTTTGTCTCAATAAAAAAAGTAAAATTTCATTCATTAAACACCTAAAGTTTTCCCTAAGTCCTTGGATGGTCCCTAAACTTTAAAATGTATTAAATTTGGTCCAAAATTTTATTTCTTAATTAAATCTTGGTTTCAAGTCGAATTTAGTTGAAATTTGTTCTATGACTCTACAATGTCATTAATTTCATAATGGGATCTTTAATTTCATGTTTTTAATTTATTTTCATATTTTGAAAATTTTACATTTTAGTCCCTAGATCTATGCATGTTCAATTGGGTGCCTAATTGACTTCTACTTTTGGTGAGATTTTAATCGTGAATAATTTATAATTGTTAATGATGAATAAAGTATTTAATAATATAAAATTATTTCAATTCCATGTGGATGTTGTGAAATGTCTATTTTGCCCTTATATGGTTATGATGTAAATTAAGTTAATATGGAAGTTTAATTATGTTGGGACTAATTACATATGTCGTATGTTATGTTTCATTTTATGAAAATCATATTTGTTTTTTAAATTTTCTTTTATTCCACTTTTTCTATGAATTTTATAATGACATGTGAAATGACTATTTTACACTCTACATAGTTAATAGCATTTATCCTACTATGCATGATTGTATGATTTTCGTAAGCATGATTATGTTATATATAAATGTTGTGTTTAGGCTTAATTTTTGTTAGGTTAAGTTAAATTACTCAATGGGCATTATATATACAACATTATCTCTCCATAATCTATAGTTTTTAACTCTAATTTTTCATTTTTTTATTAATTTTGAATTAATTTGTGTATAGAAATTATATATACTTATCTATACAATATACATATTTTACATCTATATTTCGAATTTGTTATACAATCTATAAATTTTTTAAGTCGCTATTTTTATATTTGTATTATATTATATTTATTTGTATATATAGTATACTTTTTTTGGTTGAATACAGGATAATGGGTCTCTTAGGTGCCCATTTTATCTGCTAGAATAATCTCCTCGGCTTCCTTAGGGCAATTACTAAGAAATTTATTTTCCTCATGTTGGCTCTTCATATGATTGGCGATGAAATCAGCGGCGCGTTGGCCTCCCTTGGTACGTTCTCTAACTCCACAACCCAGTTTCTTTTGAGTAGAATCTCAATATGTTGAAGGATTGTTAACTGTCTGTGTTCTAAAGATTTGTTCTTTATCAGGTTCACTGCTTCCTTACTATCTGATTCAACGATAATTTTTCTTTCACCTTTCATCCACGCCATTTTTAATCCTTCCTGTATTCCCCACAATTCCGCTTCCAGTAATGTACATCTTCCAATTTTTTGCCCACTCCCCATAGCCAGTCACATTGTAATCCCTAGCGACTTCTCCACACATCGCATCCCCATTGTTTTGATTTCTGGTTCCATCAGTATTGATTTTGCAGTATCCATTTCCTGGTTTTTCCATTTGTAATGAGTATTCCTTCTAGTTCGATTATTTCTAGAGTTCAGGGTCTTGGCGTTGTTAATCTGCTAGGTAAGTCTATCTGCTTGTTGTATGATTGATTCTCTTTCAATCATTTCAGAATCAAACATATACTGATTCTTCTTTTCCAGATATACCAGATAATGGAGCTGAAGAAGGTAGGCCAATTCTCCGTTCTAGAAGTTGGAGACTGGGTGATTTCAAGATTCTCGATAATCCATTCCTCTATATTCTTTCTCAGGTACTGATCCATATTCTTGTTATCAATAACTTCTGTCCAAATAGTCAAAGCTTTAGGGAAAAATCTCAGAGTGTGATTGATGTCTTCAATTTCGTAACCACACATAGGGCATCTCTCATCCATTATCATAGGTCTGCGCTTCCTTTCCGAATTAGTCAGAATTTTATTCCTTCCAATAAGCCATAGGAATATCTTCACCCTGTGAATGTTATTGTGTTTAGCAATGCTGATCCATAGTTTTTCTTCCATAACGTTGCTAATATTCGCAATCCAATTATATGCAGATTTCACCGAGAAAACCCTTTTTTCTGAGAGGATCCAGCCGGAGAATCAGTGATGGACTCATCCACTGGGGGTGGAGTAGCTTTAAACATATTGATGATTTGATCCGGGAATAGCTTTGTAAGTCTGTTCCAATCCCATGTACCGTTCTGGTTAATCCACTCCTTAACTTTTGATCTGTCATTCTGCACTTCCCTTTGTTGATTGCATAGTCTGGATAAAGGTTCTTTACTGTCTAACCATTTGTCATGCCAAAATTCCACTTGTTTTCCATTTCCAATATTCCAGCATAAGTTCTATTTAAACTTCGGCCATATGGAGCAGATGTGATTCCATAGTTGTGAACCACCCCTTTTTTAAGCTATTCCAGTATGATTTCCTTCATGTTGTATTTACTTCTCATCACCTGCACCCACAGAAGATCAGTTCTGTTAATGAGTTTGTACGCTAGTTTAAAAATAAAAGCCTCATTTTGACTTCTTAGACTCTTAAGTCCTTGTCCTCCTCCTTTGATAGGTATGCAGAGTGTCTCCCAGTTCACAAGATGTACACCTTTATGCTCATTTGAATTTCCCCAAATGAAATTTCTGGTAAGTCTTTCCAGTTCATTACACACTCCTTTGGGGATTAATATTGATTGCATAGTGTAATCAATATTAAGGGGAGAACCGATTTGGCGAGCATTATTCTTCCTGCCAGGGATAGTGTTTTGGCTTTCCATCCTGTGAGTTTGTCCTTAACTCTTTGAATGATACTGATGTAGGTGTGTTTATTGATCCTGTTATGTAACATAGGAACTCCCAGGTATCTTTCAAGATTATCCACCTCCTTGATGTTGAGCATGTTGGTAATAGAATTTCTAGTTTGTGTATCAACATTATTGGAGTAATATATGTTGGATTTTTGCAGGTTAACTTTATGTCCTGAGCTGTAACAGAATCTGTTGAGAGTATTCTGAATAACTTCAATTTGGGATATGTCAGCTTCCGCAAAAAGAATAAGATCATCTGCAAAGAAAATGTGAGAAATGTTAGGACCATTTTTAGACAATTTAATAGGTTTCCAGCTTCTTTGATCTACAACTAATTTAATTTCTTGTGCTAATCTCTCCATACAGATCACAAAGAGGTATGAAGACAAGGGATCTCCATGTCTAATCCCTCTAGAAGGCTTGAAGGGTTCGGTAAGCTCTCCATTCCAGTTAATCTGAATAGTCATCGAGCTTGTGCAATTCATAATAGCAAGCATGATCTTATTAGGAAGATTCATCTTCTCTATAGTGTTTTTTATGAAGTTCCAATCCAGTCTGTCATATGCTTTCTCAAGATCTATTTTTATGACAATCCACCCTTTTCTTCCTTTCTTCTTCTTCATTGAATGAATGACTTCTTGAGCAAGAATAATATTATCTGTAATCACCCTACCCGGAACGAAGCTCGTTTGGCTGTTAGAGATAACAATAGGCAGAATAGGTTTAAGACGGTTGGCAATAACTTTGGTAATAATCTTGTAAATGACCTAACAAAGACTAATGGGTCTGAACTGAGTAATTCTTTCGGGATTTTCCACCTTATGAATTAAAACTAGACTTGTTCTGTTTAAATCTTCATTGATCTGACCTCCATTAAGACACTACTTTACTAGGTAGCAAACCTTCTCCCCAATAATGTCCTAGTTGTTTTGGTAGAATGTGGCATGGAAACCGTCAAGACCGGGGGCTTTGAGAGGACTCATGTTTAATAAAGCCTCTTTGATCTCAATATTGTCAAAATATTTATTAAGCCAATTCCAATGATCTTGACTTAGTTCCGGGAAAGGCTTTTGATTATTCAAACTTTGATTGATCAAAGGGTCTCTTGTGAACAACTTCTTATAGAACTCATTGACATGATCTTTAAGAATTTCCTGATCATCACACCACATATCCGAATCAATTTTTAGGGCCATAATACGTTTTCTTCTTCCTTTAGCTATTGCACAAGAGTGGAAGTATTTGGTATTTTTATCCCCATGAGTAATCCACTTGCATCTCGCCCTCTGAGCCCAGAGAAGTTCCTCGTGTCTCAAAATAATGTCCAGATCAGTCTTCAGTTTGGATTCAATATTAGACAGTCTGTTAGAGTTATACTTATGAAGAGCCTAATCAATTCCCTTTAATCTAGAAATAATTCTCATATTCTTTTGATTAATGCTTCCAAACATTTCTTTGTTCCAAATACCTATGCTTTGTTTGATATGGTTAAGGCTATCCAAAAAATCATTATGCTTAGCCCATTCTTTTTTCAAAAAATTAACAAAATCTGGGTGCTCCATCCAGGCTGCTAGAAATCTGAAAGGTTTAATTCTATTGTCTTTGTGATGTTGATCAGCTTGTAGCATAATAGGACAGGGATCAGAGCCAATACAGTCAAGATGATACACCCTCGTATATGGGAAAACTTCGAGCTATTTCATATTCATCAAGCAACGATCAAGTCTTTGCCAAAGGTTTCCTCTATGCCAAGTAAATTCATCTCCTTGGTAATTAACATCTATCAGTTCATTGTTGAAAATGAAATCTTAAAAGAGCTTGCTCACAGCTCTATAACGGTTGCTACCACCAAGTCTTTCTTCAGGTTTCAGAATACAGTTAAAGTCCCCTCCTAGGATCTAAGGAGCATTATTGTCCGGTTTAAGCTTCGATAGTAATTCCCAAAGCTCTATTCTAATACTTTGGTTAGGGCTAGCATACACAGCTGTCAAGTATTCCCAATAATTACTATTTCTGCATCTGAAATGAGCATGGATATATTGGTTAGAAACATTTAAAATCTTGACCTCCACCGAGTTATCCCATAAAACCCAAATGCCACCACTGTGCCCTTGCGCTTCAACTTTGAAAGAATTGTTGTAACCCGTACTATTGATGATTCTATCTGCTCTTCTTCCACTAATATGGGTTTCCATCAGAGTAATGATCTTAGGCTTATAGTTATTGACACAATCACTAAAATGTCTTCTAAAGGAGGGCTTAACGACACCTTGGGTATTCTAAAACATAATCTTCATCATCTTTAAGCGAGAGAGGTAATACTATCTATATGTTCCTTACTCTTCTGTTTTACTTCTTGAATTTGGCTTTGACTAGGCTGTTCCACAAGTTGGGTCAGATTAGTGTTAGGACTTTTATTATCAAGCGGGGCTAAATTCTCTGAGTTCATGTTATTTTCTTGGATCCAATCGGATAGAAGTGGAGCATTGGGAGTGATAGGGTCTTTAGATTTTCTAATTTTCAGACCTTTGTTTTTTATACGTGAAATAGGACTAGGCTTCTTATTGAAATTCCATCTAGAGGATTGGTTGCTTCTGTAGTCCTTTTCTTGAATCGAAATAGCTGTGTGGTTTCCAGTTCCCAAACTTGATCTGTATTCCTTGATGTGAGCATTCTCCTTAGCAGTAATTTGTATTCCTCCATTGTCCTGTTTCCTGGTAGGGTCTTGACCTATTTTCATTTCAACTTCTATAATAGGGACCTCAGTTAAATTATTCTGGTCTTTCCCAACATTAGTGGAGTTATCTCTCTTTAGAATCTGTTCTGTACTTTCTTCTCCCTGTGATGCATTGGCTATGTTATCCATCATTCTTCTATCCTTCGAGCTATTTCCTGTCTGCTTCATAGTTTTCTTTTTGAAATGGTGCCAGCTTTATGTATCTCCCCTTCCCTGTTCATATGTTGGTACTCTTTAGTAATGTCTCTGGGTTCTTCCTCTAACATTTCTTTTTGAATAGCTATAAATCTGGATCCCTGATTTACTGTTATTTCCACTTCTTTGTTTTTACTCTGATTTCTTTGAGATTTGATGTTTCTGCCTCTTGGTTGAACAACCATCCAAGGGCCAAAAACATTTTCTTTGTTGTTATCTTTTGTTGAGAAAGCTTCTCTGTCCTGGTCAGTATTAGTAGTTTCCATCTGACTTTTCTGCTGATTGATTTGGCAGTTTTCTTTAGCATGACCATAAGTGCCACAGTTAAAACATATCTGTTGCAATCCTTCATATTCAATCTGCTGAATAAAATCATCGATCCCCACGCATAGAATAAGCGGTTTATTAAGATCAATAACCACTGCAACTCTGGCAAATTTTCCTCTTTCTCCAGCTTTGGTATTATAATCTATTTTGATGACTCTTCCAATGGTGTTAGCAATTGTTCTAATCAACATTGTATTATAATACCTGTAGGGTAGTCCAGGGAGGCGCAACCATGCAATGACTTGTAAAGGATGCTTTTCGGATGTGGAAAAATTTCTTGACCATGGTTGAACGGTTAGGTAGCTTCCATAGATCATCCATGGACCCTCAGTAAGAACTCTCGTATAATCTTCAAGATTTTCAAATTTCACTAAAAAGTAATCATTCTCAAGACCGATCAAGTTGAAATTTCCTATCAGATTCCATAACGCATATATTCTGTTAATCAACGCCTTATACCCAATCTTCTTTCCCAATAGTTTCGTAATAACAACTTGTTTCATGTTTTGATCTATCAGGTCATGGATTCTTTTAGAAAAGCTTATCCTTGAAAATTCTCCAGAGTTGTCCATTATGATATCTCCATCTTAAAATACTATTTATTCTTGAGGCATCTTGACGGGAGGGTTTTTACTGTACTTTGAACCGCTGGCCACTATAGCAGCATAAGAAATTCTATATGGATCTTTTCGATAATTATTGTTTGTTTCGTTTGCTTCTTGAGATCCTTCTTCTGTTACACACACACACACACACACACACCCACACACACACACATTAAAGCCCATTAGTTTTATTTATTTTTTCAATACCCAGAATTATTGACTCATATTAAGTTTTAGGGTTGATATTAACATAAATATATATGGTTTTATTTTGCAGGTTCCCTTTATCCTGATTTTTATTCCAAAAATATCAAAATGATCTCGTTCTTCCCGAGCTCAACCTCCCTGAACATGTCTTCCTCTATAATCTATTTCTAACCCCGTTCAAAATCCAAATGAACTCACTATCCAAAACTCATACTTTAATGAACCTGGTCGCCAAAACCTTTGGCATTACTACACTCAATTCTTTGGGGCTTTACCTATTCGGGTGAGCGCATTCCATCCCTTTTCTCCATGAATGAGCTCAACATCAAATATCTTCTAATTATTAAATCATATAAATTAGACAACACCTTTAAGATCAAACTCGTTGTCTTTCAGTAGCTTATTCGTATATTCTATTCCAACGTTGTTTGTGTCCTTGATTCAGCCAAGAGTTGCACTGTTTGTATTTTCTCATATCTCATGAGCAAATACATTCACATCAATGCCTCTTCCGAAGCCCGAGACTTAGGTTTAGAGGTTAAGGGTATAGATAATGAGAAAGATCATGTTGAATCCCCTTATGTGGTCAGCCATAGTGTCAACACTTTAGATATTCATGAGCGTTTCTTGCATCTTATTATCTTTTGATGGCTTCGACCATCCGGAGTTAAGTTCTCTACCCTTCTTACCGTAGATATTTTGTGGATCCATTGCCTTCAAAATAATAAACAAATCAATTTTCCCCAAATAGTCTTTGGTGAGCTTGTCGACGTCATCAATAACTTTCAATATAAAAAATTTGATACATTAGTTTATGGTTTTATTCTTATCCGTATCTTTAAAAAAGTCGGTATCAATGTCGATCTAGATCTCGCTATTCCCTTATCCTCCTACATCGATACTAAATCTCTTAGTAAATCCTGATGGAAAAAGCTAAAGAAAACGTGGACAAGAAAAGGGAAGCAAGCAAGTGGCTCTACCTTTGGTGCACATCTTCCTTAGGATGATTATACAATACACGATTTAGATGATCCGGTGAATCGAGTTCCTGTCAATCTCCCTCGAGTCGATGGTAAGGATACGAGTGCAACTCCTCTTTACTTCCAGGCTTTCTTGGAGACGATGCACATGTGGTATGCTACCACAGAGTCTCACTTCACTGTCTTGGGGACTCAGGTTTCAAAGATTGCTTCTAGATAATTGATAATAGGGTCTCATATCTTGGCGTTTTCCTCCCAACAGCTCAACCTTCAGTCAATTTATATGGATTCGAGACATGAGTATCATCCTCGGTTCGATACTTTATTAGAGCGAGTTGAAACAATGTCGAGTAGAGTTCAGGCTTTTTCTCGTGACTTCTCACCTTTTCATACCTCTTCATTGGATGTTGCTCCACTTTCTTCACCCTCGAATGATTGATTGCTAGTGTGTTTTTGATTGCCTTTAGATTAGACTTGTGCTTTTTATTTTGCCTATTTGGATTATTTTATGCTTTTGGATATTATGTTTTCATACTTTGATATTTTGATATTTGATATTGGTTGTCTTCGGATTTAGATATTTTGTGTTTTTGGATGATTATTTATATTTTTATGGATATTTCGATGCTTATTATGATTTTACGATTTTTGGTATTTGAGACTTCCTTATCTCTTTAATTATGACCATGTTTATTGCTTAAGAATATTATTTATGTTGACTAACCTCTTTTGGAAAATTTGATCTTAACAGCTTGTATTTATATCTTGTTTAAGCCTTTTGTTTTAACAAAAAGGGGAAGAAATATTATAGTAAGGGGGAGTATTTTATTTTCAATAAAATCTTTAAAACCTTAAAATTTTTCAAAGGTTTTGTTATATCAAAAAGGGAGTTGTTGAACCATGCTTTGGTATTTTGATATAACCAAAAATAAATATTTTTAAAAAATTAAGATTATTTTTTATCCAGTTTTTAAGTTTATATTCGATTTAATCGTTCGAATATGAAAATTATTTTTAAGGTCAAAAACCCTATTTTTACTCTTTATTATTTTTTAAAAAATTCAAGTCGTATACTAGAATTAATTTTCAAAAATTTTTATAAAGAGTATCAGATTTGAATCTAGTCAAAAATCAATTTTTACCTCTACAGTACCGATACTGCAATAACAGTACCGATACTATTCATGTGGTAATGATAGTAGTATCAATACAACCTTTGTAATTTTGGCAAATGCAAATTCTAGTAGCCAATTTTATACCGATATTGTTCAAGTATTCATATCAGTATCGATACTCATATTGGAGTACTGATACTACCCTCTTACCAAGGACTAGAATTTTGTATTTAATGCAGTCAATATCCCAAGCCCGAGTACCGGTACTCAAGGCGTCTGGGCAACATTTATTGCGGGAAATTTCATCCCAAGAGCTCTATTAACTCCCACAATAACTCAAACAACTAGAATTAAATGAAGGGGTATAAAAACAAGATTCCAAGTAATATGTGAAGGCAAGAGATCATAGAGAAAGCCAAAGCAATCAAATTGAGTAAAAATCAAGTTAACATTCTTTAATATTCCTTCTGCTTTCAAATAATACTTTTGTACTCATTTGTTTATTTGTTAAGTGTTCTTCTTTGTTTTTGAATTGTGCAGACAATTTCCTTGTGATGTTTTTCTAAGTTTACAAATTTGTAATTTTCTCTTTGAAAAAGTGTCTCAAGAATTTGGGGTATAATTCTTGAGGGAGTTATAAGGTTACATCTTGTCCTCAAAGGTTAATATAAATTAGTAAATTTGTGGAAATCCTTAGTGTGGATAGCTAAGATAGTGGATTTAGATTTAGATTTAGAAAGTCGAACCACTCTAAAAAAATTTGTTTAGTTTTTTTTTTCAAGCTTCCACCAAAATTTTTATTCGTCAATTCACCTCCTCTTGGTTTTTTCATCCTCTTGATTGACTCAACAATATATATAATCATTAATAAATTAATATAAAATATATAAATTTAATTTAAAAATGTTAAACTCTTAAATTACTTGTAAATAATATGTTAGATTTTTTTAGCAATTTAAGTGTTATCATATTCTCAATTGGTCTAGATTTAAGTCATCACTTGTCTATTTTTATTTGTATCATTAACTATAATACGTAATATATAAAAATATTTCAATTGATTCCTAAATATTAGATTTAGTCTATTGGTTAAGGCATTGCTTGGATACTAATTGATCTTGGGTTCAAATGCAATTAAATCATTTTATTTTTATTTTTCTGCATAAACTTGAACAAATTATATAACATATGTATTATCTTGATAACAAGTGTGAGAATTGGCTTAGCGGTTAATTCTAAAATCTAGGGAATTTAATCTTTAAATTTAATACATGACTAGAATAAAAGGTTTTATAGTTAATGCCCAAATTACAGCATTAGACAAATTAAAAACATAATCAGGATCAAATTACATTAAATGAAAATCCAAGGAAACAAATCATAAATAGTGACCAAAATGGAAGAAAACAAAACTGAGTTCCAACATCGCCAATACATAAACACTTTCGTTAAATATTATCGACAAGTCACCTTTTCAGTAGATAAATTTAAGAGAAAATAACCTCAGTGACCAAAAATGCCTTATAATATACGATTTTAACCAACTTTTTTTGGATTTGCCAAAATGACCAACAAAATCGCAATGCGATCGCTAATTCGCAATATGATCTCAGGTATCGCAAATCAGTTTCCAGATTCGCAACGCGAACTTCGACTATCGCATTGCGATTTACATATTCGCGTTGCGATAGTCCAAGTTCGTTGCGATAGTCTCCAAGTTCGTTGGGATAGTCTCCAAATTCGTTGCGATAGTCTCCAAATTCGTTGCGATAGTCTCCAAGTTCGTTGCGATAGTCTCCAAGTTCGTTGCGATAGTCTCCAAGTTCGTTATTGCATTTATTTCTTAAGAATTTTCTCTAAAAAGATAGTATTCGCGCGGACGTGTCGAAGACACGTATTACCAGGACCACGACCACGATCACACGACCCGAGACGAGACGAGACGGACGACGGCAGCGGCACGCGAGAGTCCCCCTTGTTCTCTATCACTCAACAAGGAAGTGGGAAAGCCAAGCCTTAAATACCATTCTCAATAGTGTTTCCAATACTATGTGGATTGAGCATTACCAACACTTGTTCCCAATAGTGTTTCCGGATACACTTTAAGTTCAATTATAATCAACATTTACTACTTGCTCGAAATACCGAACAGAGTAGACAATATCGTGATGAATTGTTTTGTTAAGTTGGTAAAGCATGTTCTTGGATTACAAGAGGCTTATTGTAAATGTAAACCAAAAATTTCTTTCGTTTCTTCATAGTTTAAAGTGCTAGTGAATTTTCAATCCCACATAGTATTGGAAACACTATTGGAAATGGTATTTAAGGCTTGGCTTTCCCACTTCCTTGTTGAGTGATAGAGAACAAGGGGGACTCTCGCGTGCCGCCGCCGTCCGTCTCGTCTCGTGGTCGTGGTAATACGTGTCTTCGACACGTCCGCGCGAATACTATATTTTTAGAGAAAATTCTTAAGAAACAAATGCAATACCACCAGTCGTTGCGATTTTGGACTATCGCAACGAATTTGGAGACTATCGCAACGAATTTGGAGACTATCGCAACGCACTTGGAGACTATCGCAACGAACTTGGAGACTATCGCAACGAACTTGGAGACTATCGCAACGAATTTGGAGACTATCGCAACGAACTTGGAGACTATCGCAATGAATTTGGAGACTATCGCAACGAATTTGGAGACTATCGCAACGAACTTGGAGACTATCGCAACGAATTTGGAGACTATCGCAACGAACTTGGAGACTATCACAACGAACTTGGAGACTATCGCAACGAACTTGGAGACTATCGCAACGAATTTGGAGACTATCGCAACGAACTTGGAGACTATCATAATGCACTTGGAGACTATCGCAACGAACTTGAAAAATCGCAACGCGAACTTAGAAAATCGCAACGTTAACTTGGACTATCGCAATTCGAATATGTAAATCGCAATGTGATAGTCGAAGTTCGCGTTGCGAATCTGGAAACTGATTTGCGATACCTGAGATCGCGTTGCGAATTAGCGATCGCATTGCGATTTTGTTGGTCATTTTGGCAAATCCAAAAAAATTTGATTAAAATCGTATATTATAAGACATTTTTGGTCACTGAAGTTATTTTCTCTAAATTTAATTTCAAAATCTCAAATGACTATAAAATTCAAACGGCTATAGGATAAGATTTTATCATTTCTTAATCAAGGTATTAACATTCAACTCAGATGATTGATAATTTTTTAATAAAAAATAATGAGTTTGAAACATATTAATAGTTGTGTGATCATTTTATAAGTTTTAATAGTTGAGAGACTCGACGAAACAACACTCTATAACTGAAAAATCATTTTATAACTTTTAATAGTCGATGACTCAACAGAACAACTATACAATCAACACTAATCGAGTGACCATTTATACACTTTACCCCATAAATTATTACACGTAATCTTTAAAACAGATAATAAGAAATAGCATTAAAATTAAGAAATGTCGTTAAAGTTTCGTTAAAATAGAAATGGAATATTAAGAAGTAGCATTGAAGTTTTGTAAGCTGTTAACTTCACAAATAGTTATAATAGCCTAGCAATGTGCAGCAGATAATCTGCACCTTTCCATCTCTCCATTGGAAATATTACCCAAAAGGGCAACATTACAAGAGGAAAATTCATATATTTGCAAAATAAATAAAAAAAATCCAAAATTGTCTGCCTGCAATAAACCTGACAATATTAATACAACTACACGATATTAGAAAAAAAACAACTTAAACACAGCATCACATTTTTTTAATAGTCTAGAATGATTACATAATATCACAAATTTTTGAAGTATATATAATGCGAAACATTAGCATACCAAAATTTATATAAATTATAATAGCTTAAACACATTTAAGACACAAAATACATGACACCAAATACAGGATTAGGTGATCAAGACTGCCAATTAACTAATGCTTCGTTACATGCTTCCTAGAAGCATTATGGCCAAACACTTGATTATTCTACGAACGGCTCAGGAAAATAAAATCATAAATCATTTCATCAAAATTGATCCCAAGCAATGAGGGATGTCATGGATGATTAATTTGGTGTTCTCAACAACAAAATTTAAACAGCAACATAAAGCTTTAGAGTATAGCATCCGAATACTACAATGCCTACAAAAACATGCAGCAGAAACATTAGCAGCTGGTAATCATGAGAAAAGGTGTTCTAGCAAAGCATCCACATGCAGTAAAACATGCATTTAAATTGTATCAGCCAGAATCCACATGATCCGAAAAGTGAAGCGTGCAATAAATTAAAATGATGCAAGGGAAAAAAACGCATACGGTGCAAAAGTGCAGGGCTTCTTCAGGAATCCAAGCAATTTTTTCCTGGCAGGCTTTAATACAGCCTACCAGTACACTCAGAAGAACCACAATAGCATATTTTCTGCTTTATGTTACCATTCTCGTCTCGAACATGATCTATCATATAATTGTAGTGATATGTCAACTCTTGCAAGGGAGGGATATTCTCAGCAGCGAAGAACATTATGTGTGGGATTCTCATATCTTCATGGTCATAAAGGACATTTTGTGCATACAGATTAGGTGAACAACTATGGTTTATGAATCTCCCAATATTGCCACACCGTGCTGCATCGATGGTGAAACCACTGTCTTGTACAACTTGGCAAAAACTTGAATGTGCATCAGGCATTATGGTTGAAAGACCATCCCAGAGAGAACTGTCACTGTTATTTCCGATATCAAACAGATACTCGTCACTCCCTTTTCTTTCTTCCGCTTCCCTATCTTCAAGGAGCTCTCCAGCATACTCGCAGATAAAACTTCCGGAAGGGATAGAATTTAGGGATCTAACACCCCAGCCTCTTGATTCAGTTTTAAAGATTTCAAGCTGAAATTTTATGCCATGTTGGCTAACTCTATTATGGCAAGGAGGAGGACAACTGCAATTAGGACCACATTCATAAACAAGTGGTTTTGCTTCAACAATGGCCCCATTATGGTTATATGGAATCTCTCCTCCATTCTTCATCACACAGGAACAATTCCCTGATTCTGAGCACCTATTAATACAACCACAACCTTTGGAAGGAATAGGGCGGCACCAGTCAGGGTAGATCATGTGAGGTTCATACACAAATGATGGGGGGGTTTCACCATCTATGGTGTTTATAGCACAAATTGGAGTTTTCTCCTTCCGTTGTGAAATATCACTTACAACGAGCCCCTCCCGCACCTTATATTTCTTTACAACTTTCCAAGCAAGCTCCGGTTGACCCGGGATTCTGACCAGCTTATATTTGAAGACCAGCTTACCATGTGGTCCTGGTTCTTGCTTAAACTCCTCCACCAAATAAAGTCCATCATAAACATATGTCTTACCTCTACTTTCCAACAAAGTAGACGACGACCTTGATTCACCACGAATCACCCTTACCGGATTCTTAACAACTTTGCTATTTGCCAAAGCAAGGTTTCCTCTTTCAAGCTTTTGATCCTCTGGTTGTTTACCTTTCTGCATCACATTTCCTCCCTGGCCCATGTAACTCAAGACATCTGAATTATTCAAATCATTCTCATAGCCCCCCCCAGCTATGATACTGGTAGCAATAATCTTTTCACCTCGCTTTACATAATCTATACCACCCTGACTCTGGCGGTGAAGGCCAACAATATTGAGCTCAACAAAATACTGAAACTCATCACCAACTTCAACTCCCGGAACAGGTCCTATGATCTGTCTGCCTGTGTTAACATATTTCCCTTTTTCTTTCAGAATTTTTGCAGCTAGGATATCTATCCTCTTACCAGCTTTTCCTTGTTCCTTCATCTTTGATTCTTCTTCCTGTAAGAGTTTCCGAGAGATGGCTTGGAATAAACGCAAAGTCTCTCTCACTTTGTTCCGAGTAGTCATTGCATCATCTGTACTAGTTGGGCAAGGAGGAAGACTCACATCATAACTGCATGATCTCTGAGCAAAATTATCATTTGAGTATTGCTCATCCTGCTGCAACAAGTCTTCCTTGTTCCTAACAACGACCTGACCACAACTTTTACGAGCCCTTTTTTTGGAAGAACTCTTCTTGGTATTTGCTTGTGGTGGTGGCAATATAGAATTGCTCTCTTTTTTTCTTTTTAATGAACCACCAGCCAGGTCAGGTTTGCAGGTGACTTTCCATTGTCGACAAGGACCATTTGATAAAATTTCTTGACTCTCGTGATTCCCCTCCAGCAATTGATCCTTAAAAGCAGACGAATCAGGAAGCTTTTTCTCAAAACTGTTTCCCTCTTCATAGACGACAATTTGACCCTCCTCTAGCAGTTGATCCTCAAAAGATGATGAATCAGGAAGCTTTTTCTCAAAACTATTACCCCTTTCATAGACAACAATATCACCAATAGGTTTTTCCTCCGAACCTGTAGCATATACATCCCCCGTCTCAGTTACTTTGACAGAGTTCCTATCAAATTCATTTGGAAAAGCTTCACAAGAAGGTTTGCTGCTTTTTTTAATCATATTTCCGGCATCATCCTCCACATCGTTGCAGGAATAAACTTTATATGCACCTTGCTTTTCCATTTTTTCAGTAGCTGGCTCTTCAGGTTTAGAATGAATACCTTCTACAGAGTTCCGATCAAATTCATTTGGAATAGCTTCACAAGAAGGCTTGATGCTGTTTTTACTCATATTTCCGGCATCCTCCTCCATATTGTTGCAGGAATAAGCTTCATATGAACCTTGCTTTTCCATTTTTTCAGAAGATGGTTCCTCACGTCTAGAATGAATACCTTCTACAGATAGCCTAGGAGCATTACCTTCTACTTTACTATCTACAGCAAGTATATCCTGAACATCCTCCATTACTTGTCTCACATCAGCAGATAAGGTCTTTACCAGGGATTTTTCTTCATTTACAAACTTCTCTATATTAAAACCCTTGTTCTTCAAAGTGGTAAGCCATTTCACACGCTCCTCTTCGCTAAGAGGTGGAGCATTTCTTCCACAAAATGGAGGGAAGTCTCTCACAACAGTGACTCCTTGTCGAGGACGATAATTTATTGCTAAATTCTTCTCTAAACTGCTCTCACCAAGATGCAAGTTTGCACCCCTTTGTGGAATCTCCTCTTCAGAAATGACAGTATTCTCCTCAGGTAAATACTTATGTGAACCAGAAACTTCATTTATCAAACACGCCGCAACTTCAGAGCCTCCTGAAGACTTTGTTTCACATTGAACCTTTCCGGCATTATCGGGCAACACTGCTGGCTTTTCACACTGGACCTTATCTGCATAATCAGTCAATAATTCTGGCTTTTCTGACTCGGAAACCGTCTTCTCTTCTGCTTGCTCACTTGGTTTGGTTATTTTTGCAGCCAACCTTCCACACCCCGGTGGAAAATCCCGAACAGCCGAAACATTACGCTTCTTAAACATGGGGGCAGGGGCAATGTGACCATTTTCAGTTGGCACCCTTCCCAACCTTGCCTCAGAATGACCACCACTTGCCAACTTTGCTATCTCTTTATGCATCATATTATCAGAAACCCCCATTTCAACTCAAATATTACAACCTAAGAAAACAGTATAAATATCATTTGGTTTCCATTAGCTTAATTGCACAAAAACAACCAAATTAACAATAACATAAATTTCTTAAAAAAAAGAAAAGAAAAGAAAACAATAATGTAAACATCATTGCACTGTTATTAGCTTAAAAATTAAACGAAAAACTAAAGTAATTCTCAATTTTCTAACCATGGATGAAGCTAAAATCAGAAAATAAAGAAAACGAAACTCATGCCCGCTAGCTTTTAACAATCAAATCAAACCACCGAATAACCTATCTGATACTGAAGAACATGTCAAATGAAAAGGCGGAAACGAAGAAAATAGTAATTCTCAACGATGAAATCAAACTACATACTCAACCGAATAACCTAATGTTTTTCTCAACTATACTTGGAAACCAAACTCAGAAAGTCAAAAGTCGTTCTGCATAAAAATGGCGTATCTTTCAATTAAAACAAAAACAAGTATACAAAATCAATAATTTGCAATAGAATCAAAGAAATTAAGAAAAAATATGAAAGGAAATTTAGAGTCCATACATCATATAGAGGGTTTAGAAGAAAGAAGGAAATTATAAAATGAAAATAAATTAGGATGAGATAATCACCAATAATTATCTTCAAATCACATGGCCGCTTAAAGACCAAGGGCAAGAAGAAGATGAGAGAAATTGTCGAAAACGGTAGATTTGTTGCTCTTCTTCTCTTAAGTTTTTGCTTTTATATTTGTTTTTTTTTAAGAATTCTCAATCAAACGACAAATAGAAGTCAAAGTTTAAATGCGTTAATTTTATTTTGACCACAAAATAAAATTATGGGGTTAATTTAGTCATCAAATTATGGGGTTAATTTTATTCTAACCACCAAATAAAATATTTTATCAATTAATTTACTAACATTTTATTTTGGTGTCAATTAAATTATTGATTTTAATTGTTTGTAGTCACTAACAATGACAACGGAACTTTCTTTTAATTGGAAAATTTTACTTGAATAATGGAGTGAGAAAAATAGCTTATATAGATTAGGTATGATAATTTAACTTAAAATTTAAGGGTTTCAATTATATCCAACTTAATAGGATCGGGTTTCTTAAAAAAAGTTATACTCGAGTCGGATTTGAGTTAGGTTTAATATATCATTAGGTCAGTATGGGTCAGGTTCTGTTGGAGGGTGAAAAACCTTCAACCTAACCCGAATCGAGGGTAATAGAGTATTTTTTATATAAATTTATGGACAATTGCAGTAATACTTCCTCTCAATGGTTTTTTAATTAGATCTTTATTTTATGTCAAATTGGTCAGATTAGACTGATTTAGACTTAAAAAATCAGCTTAGTCGAGTTCGGGTGGAAAATATATATATTTTTTGATCAAGATAGATTAGGTAAAAAGATATATATTTTTCGTTTCAAATTCAAGTTAAGAGTATATATTTTCTGGGTTGGATTAGATTGAGTTTTTACTCCATATATGTCTACCCCTTGTCATCTCTATATAAAGTGCAGTAAAAAAGTATTTTTTTTGAATTAAGGTTTCTATTATAGTAATTTATGAAAGTCATCGGCACTACATGATAACTTCTACCCATAATCATATTCCTCTGCATTGTCTGTATGAAAAATTCGTCATTTTATCTTTGTGACTTCACCCAATATTATAGCAAAGAGCATAATTCATAAAATAAATTTTTACAACTTATATAATCAATTTTATTGCCCAAATTGCCCATTATTCAAATAATTTACCCCTTTTAATTGGGATAATAATAGTTTTAACCTTTTATATTTATGGATTCATCAATTTTAAATAATTAGATAAAAATATGAAGAAACAAAAAAATGTCTCAAATCCTTGAGCCTTCCCTTCTCGAGGGTTACCTTTCTCATTCGTTTTCTATTCTCAATGAACCACCAAAAATCCAAGAACCTAAGCAGAATCAATTTGACAGTCTGGATTATTAAATTTTGCATTCCAATGGTTTAAGGTTAGGTCAGTGGAGTTTTAGATGTGATCACAAAATGATTAAGGGTTAGTTTGATAAAACTTTTAAAAAGTGGTTTTTAAAAGTACGGTAGAAAAGAATTTTTAAAAGTGTTATTTAAAAGTATAATTTAAAATTTAATTATTTGAGATTAATATTAAAAAATGAGTTTGAAAAGATAAAATGTTTATTATAGACATTATGTTATAAACTAAAAATATAAAAATTAAACTATATTTATACTTATTAATACTATTATATACAAAATTTATCAACTTAAACTATAATAAAAATATTTTAAGAAAAATCATTAGTAATATTTTTATAATGAAGTATTTTATTGAGAAAAAATATATTATCAATATTTTTAACATGTGGGTATAAAATTATTATGAAATAATAATTTAAATACAAATAACAAATATATTATCAATACTTTTTAACATGTGGATATAAAATATATCAATTTAAACTATAATAAAATATAAAAAATATAATTATAATAAAAATATATTTTATAATAACTCACTATTAATATTTTAATATATAAACTATAAATTTTATTTATTTTTATGTAATTGAAATAAATTATTAAATAATAAATTATTTTTTACTGACGTTATATTAAATTTTAAAATAAAATATAAATACATAATTAAGTAGAGCTCAGGCTTTAATAAGCTTAAAATTATAAGTTGCTGTCAAACGCAAAATTGAAAATAAAAAAACTATAAATCCTAACTTTTGTAGTTGGTTTGAAACCATCGTTTCCATTGCAATTTTTTTTCTAATTTTTTACTTGTTTGACATTGATTTTGCGGTCAAAACGAAGTTTTTAACTAAAATGCTTTTAAAAAGTCACATTAAACGGGCCTAAATTTGTTTGTGTAATGTTCCAAAATCTGGATTAGCAGTATTAGGTAAGTATTTGGGTAGTTAATTTAAATTTTTCTAATTTTATAAAAAAAATAGTCATTTTAAAAAAAATAAGATGATTTTGCTAAAAAGAAGTTTAATTTCTTAATTAGAATAGCCAACATTTTGTTATAAGGCAAAAATGTTCCTCTATAGATGAAAATTGTTAGTTAATAAACAATTAATATTCTAAAATAGGGATCATTCGCCCTAAAATAAAAAGTTAAGGATTAAAATGCTCTAAAGGAATAAAGATCAAAATAATTATTTGATCAGACATTAGGATTTTTTTACCCGAAGATAAAACTTTGGGGGTAAAAAAACTTTAAAAACATATGTCAAAATAATCATTTTTATAATATTAGGGACTAATTTTGACATTATATCATAGAGATTATGAAATTTTAATTGAAATTTGTTAAAATTTAGTATCATAGAAGATTAATTAATTTTTTTAATTCAGGATGATTTTGTTTTTGTAAATTAACAACTCAAAATCTTCAAAGATAATTATACCTTGAATTTAACAAGGATGATGTAGAAGGAACTATTCCCCTTTTGTAGTGGAAAAATAGTATACTACCTAACCACCATGTCAACTTATTTACTTAATATATTTTGAGCAATGAAAATATTTAGAGTATTGTAATTGTAAATATATATATATATATATATATATATATATTCATGAAAATATATTAATTATAGTATGAATTAAAATTAAATTATATTTATAATATAAACGGTTAATTATTGTTTTAATATTTTTTAAATATTTTAAATATTTTATTTTATTAATTTTCACGTAACAAGCTGTTTCAAGCAACAATTTTATCAAAAAATAACTAAAAAATTAAAAACCACCATAGTAACATCCTTTGTCGAATGTGTACCAAATTAGCACCTATTTTGACAAGAAATGAGGGAGGCATGTTTCTTGAACGCATCTCGTTTAGGTGGATAGAAGGCGCGTCTCCTGGCGCGTGTTTTCCAGGAGAAATGTTGACATGGAAAACGCGTGGCAGGCGCATTTCACATGTAGAGTCTTTCAAATAAAAACCATCAAGTTTTAGGGTTAGGGTTTGGATGAGCGATTTAGGTTTTTTTATGTTAAGTGGTTTAGGGTTAGGGTTAAATTAGAAAAACAAAAATATTAAATCTGAAATCAAAAAACAATCTGTAAACTTTTAAATCGTAGACTTATAATCATGAGTGTTAAAAAATATTTATAAAATCATTAATAATATTTATATGATAAAATATTAAATTAAAGTACATAAAATAGAAGAGAGAAAAAATAAAGTACAAGAAAATAAAATCACAGATATTGAAATATTAGAAAATATAATTACATTAGTAGTAGTCAATGGTTAAGTGATTGTAACCCCCTCAGACCGATGCCGGTAACCCGATCCGATCTGGAGTGTCACATTAGGGCCACCGGAGCGACCCACTGTAAAAATCTCAGAAAATTTAAAACTTTTATTAAAACATTTAACTCATAAAATAATTTATGAATACAAAATAAAATTTATCAGTATTCAGAAATAAAATAGATTTTCAGACTCGTATATAAAACAAAATACAATTACATGCCCCTAATCACATGTACCATACTCTGCAAGCAAAACCGGAAGAACTTCTTTATTGATGTCGATAGATGCACTGATACGATTCTTTTAACCTGAAAAGGTGAGTAATAGAGTGAGCTTTGGAAAGCTCAGTAATACAAAACTACCAGATGATGCTGAAGAACGTACAGGTACAGATAAACATATATTTCCTTATCAGTTCAGACATCTACAGATATTTATGTTGAGCGGAAATCCTACTGATATTTCAGGTAGTAACAGACAGTGAGCTTTCAGTTCAGAGAAATATTTCGGATGACTGAGTTCAGGGATCAGAATATGTTATCTAGTGTGTTCCCTCAAAACTAGTGAAAATATACAAATCTTTTTAAAAACTATTTTTATTTATCAAAAATCATAGTAATCCCTTCAATCAAAAACAACATAATATGTAGGTTCCCCAGAACCATACAACCCCTGCACAATAGTAAAGCCCTGAGCACAAAGTCGAGGGGCCTGTATATATTCTTCCTCCAACAATACCCCCAAATAAAACATTTTTCGTCAATAAACGGAGATATCAGAAATCAAAACATAATTCATAAATCCAGATCAGAAATCATAACATAATTCAAATTGGAAATCAGATAAAACATTTATGTAATTAGGGAAAACACTAGTGTTTACAGATATTATTAGAGATACTATATAATCTTATCGGGCAGAGAAATACGGATCTTCAGTTTACCGATAGAATATAAGAAGTTAGAATCATTGTTGGAAGAGTTCATTAACTGATGAAATCATCAGTTATTCAGAATCCTTTACATCTGAGTTACTTATGTTTTCAGATATGCCCAGAGTGGTTTGAGCTGATAAGGGAGAACGAAGATTCAGAACCTTTACAATCTATGTCGATTGATTGGATTATTGAACAACTCCAGATGAATAACTCCCAGAACTAATGCCTGTCGATTGGTCAATTCATTGTCTTTAGAGGGTATTTACACTTTAATACCATAAATTCTTGTCCATATATCATCTTCGGAATCATCGCTGAATAAGTCTTCCAATGTCTTCATTTCATTTTCACGCTTCCACAATATCATGAAATGCTGACGTGCTTGATTTGTAGTTCATGACCCATAAGAACATTAAATCATGTATGTTCATTAACGTTTCCAAACTCATCCAAATCACTTATTTAATCCTCAGCCATTA